ATACCACGTGACTATTGGTTACCCCAGCATTATGATATCCTTGAAGTTCAAGGAGTAGAATTGTTAACAGTGCCAGTAACAGATGCAAAACATATTCTTTTTTCTGTTTAACTAATATTAGCAATATGAGCAATAGTAAACTATGTCATCTGCTTTTCATTATTTATCAATTAATCATCCGCAATATTGATAAAATATATTTTTCGAGAGGTTTTAGCTATTTATATTCAATTTATTTACAAAATAACTTTGAAATTGTTTATATTTTCCTTTAACGGTTTATTATTAGTTATTTATAGAATAATTATTTTAATACAATAACTAGGTAAAGTATGACATTTTTCATCTATTGCATACTTTAACAGACTTGTCTTGTTATTTCATGAAATCCATAGTTATTCTAAGAAATAACTGAATTATATACTTTATAACGGCACTAAAACAGAAAACAATATATATATCTATCAATTTTGTGCGAAATTTGAAACATTACTTCAGCTCGTCAAGATGACTGTATAACTAGTCTGTATTTAAATAGAAAGTAGATAAATTTGAAACTTTATTTTTATAGAGTCTCTGAGCTAGATCACAATAATTTCCTTATAGATATACTATATAAGGCTCTATAATGATTTATAATCTCTTTCTCTCCATAAACGTATTTTTTATCTAACACTTCGTCCATGTAGTTATAATTTTAATAATATAACAATAATTTCCTTTGAATTAATCATTTAAACAGTAATTAAAATTTTATTATTAAAAGGATTTAAATTAACAGTAATTGGATGTTAACACTTCTAGACAATTGATGAATTTTAAGTATAAATAAAAATATAAATTGAAATATGAAAATAAATGTATTGCAATTAAGTGAACTAGAGGTATACAAGGTGTTACACAAAGAAACGAGACTAAGTGTGTATCTTGAAAAAAGAGAGGAGTTGGCAACAACTGTTTTGGTGACGTCATCCCATGTACCTCCTCTGTCTATGTGACCAGTTTCGCCTTAATTGATCACGCCAGTTGGGAGAGCTGAATCATTGAATGAACACGTGCAACTGTATTCCGCCGGAAAAATATCGAATCAACATTTAAGTTTCTTGTGAAACTTAAGAAATTAGCCACGAAAACATTTTACATACTAACCGAGGTTTATGGAAATGAAACTTTGTGTCATGCACATGTGTTTGAATGGCATAAGCGGTTTTCAGGGGGAAGGTGATGAACGTGCTGGGTGCCCAAGGTAAGCGATTATAGACCAAAATTCATGATATGAGTAGGTTCCCACTCACATCAGTAGTCAGACCGTTAATCAACACGACTGCATTGAAGTACTAAAAAGACCTCGTGAAAAAAGTAGGCATCCGCTCACGTGGTCCTATCTGTCAAGTAGTTTCTGACCAGAAAAAACATTACTGCCATGGCGCATCCTCCTTATCCACCTGATTTGGCCCCATCCGACTTTTTTCTTATTTCCTGCAGTGAAAACTTGCTGAAATGAAAGCCATTTTACCTCTGCGAAGAGATTCAGGCAAAAACGGAGAATCTCCCAAAAGGTCTTCCAAAAACTTCGTTCCAGAACGGTTACCAGCAATGGCAGAACCGAATGTAGAAGTGCGAGAATGCTGAAGCAGTGGCGGCTCTAGGACCGGACAAACCAGCCTCCTGCCCGGGGGTAATTTTAAGGGCGGCATTTGGATCGAATTTGAATTTGATTTTTGTTGTTGTTACAAAAAGTTTGATATATTTTCTGAAATATAGTGCGACATAGCCATCGTTCGATAGCCATGTCGTGGGGGTTTCCGCGTAAGTTAGAGGTGTGGGATTCTCGGAACGATGAGACATTCTATAATTCTTAATATGACTTTTATTAAGAATTTAACTTAAATTACTTAGAGATATCGAACACACAAACTTATATTAAGTGAGAATAAACCAAAGTACGCAGTTTCAACTAACTCAGATCGCGCAATTAGATCACTTATCAATATAAATATATTATATCCGCCTAATCTCGTCTCAATAATATACTAGCGTTCAGAATATAATCTTCCTACCTTGGTTGAGTACTCAACGGTTCAATCACTTTCAGATAGGCTGTTGGGCTCGCGTGCAATAGTATGCACCTTGTAGTAATGGCTAGATATCCGTGATTCTTTGGTAGGCCGTCAAATTACACTTCTACCTTTTCCAGAACTTTCTCTAAATTGCCATCCTTGCTCACTAAAATTTCTATCCTTTTAAAGGTTATCTTATTTGCATCTATGCTTCGTTTCACTTCTTGGATTTGGGTTGGAAAAGTTTTGCCATTAATCGTTACCGTCAAAGAACATAGAGGTTATGTTAGAGGAAGAACGCGAGAGATGTCACAATAGTTGAGTGGGAATTTGGTATTTCATTTAACGTATCTTATTTTTTAGTTTGTACTCTGTACATTTAATGACAGTTTTATTTTACGTTGAAACTTGAAGGGTTCAAGGCGGGAGTATATGCTAAAGCATGAAATTTAAAATGTTTACACATCTTTCACTAGTAACTTTCTCCTCATCCCAGAGTGAGGTCACAACGGACATTTTCACCCTTACGATGCCCGGTGTCAGCTATCCAAAAGGGGACAAGGGTAATAAGAGGTTTTGGTAGATGGAGAGCCACAGAGGAGATGTTTTACTTTAGTTTTGAGTGTAGTTACTTTTAGTTAAAACAAATGCTTATGATCCCCACCATCAGTAGAATATTTTTCGAAGAAATTGACTTTTGATTGAATGGACGATTCCTTCTCTTACATTTCACTCTTTTGAAATAATAACAAGTAATTATGTCCTTAATTTCGAATTTTTAAACTAATATATATATATATATTGAGAGAGAGAGGGGAGGCATTTTTCATTTTTGTCCGGGCGGCAAAACTTCTACAGCCGGCCCTGGCTGAAGGGAACTACTTTGAAGGTGATATTGTCACGAACTGATTCTGTAAGTACAATGATTTATTGGACCAACCTCGTTTTTTGTGTGTCGCACCTCGTATTTTCCCCAAATCACATTTGACACCCACCCTTGAAACTGCTGCTACAATTCCTTTTCGAGAACGTTTCATCGGTAAACTGTGACAATTTCAATGATCTAGCAGATGGAATGAATTTAATTCGAAATCAGATACAAGAAGACACTTCAGCAACGTTTATAAAAAATACTTAATAACACTTTATGAAAGTAGTAAAAAATACTTTTTTGATTTAAAATAGTATTTTTTTTTTTTTCAGAAGAAATGACGGCAATTAAAAAGTGGAATCAATTCAAATTTCATATAAAAATAGCATTAACACTAAAACAGAAAATATTCAAATTTCAAACAAAAACCTTACACATAAAAAAAAAAAAAAACTCATTTAAACCCCCTAGAACACCAGGGAAAACCATTTTTTGGGTTAATGTATTTTGGGACAAAAATCCCATTGAAAAATCTTTCCGAAACATGTCTTTTTTAGATGTACAAACCCGTAACCAGCACAAAAAAACATTAAAGGTGATTTTCTTTCATTGGGATTGTATAAAATTACAAAAGTTGTTACAAAAAAAGTCTTGGTTACAAAAAAATTTTAAAAAAAGCCAAATTAGAATTTAAAATTTTTTCAAAAACTTTTGAAATTTTCGAAATGTTTCTTTAACAAAAAACTTTTCCCCCAGCGTTAATAAAATGCATTTTGGCTTTTTTTCCATTTCTTTATCACAAATAGATAAATCAATCAAATCATTGCCTATTTGTTTTTTTCCCGCAAATATTCTTTCAGTATTGCTTTTGTTTAAAATTTAGGGGACAAAAGCCATATTGGCAAAAAAAAAGTAAAAAAAAAAACAAAAATATAGTTATACAAATTTTAAAAAGGGAAACGAAAGACGAACAAAAAGGGGGCCTTAGAGCCCAAAGGAAAATTTGAAAAACCGTGGGATGCAAGGCGTTCCCGAAAAAATTGGGATTCTGGGTTTGTTGGTTTTGAATGTTAACCCTGAGTTCGGGGGGCAAAAGGGTTTGGCGGAAAAGGCCACGTTAAATTTTAACCAAAAGGTCGGGGAAATGGGGAAAATTTCTGAGCCAAGGGGTCCCTTAATCCCCCAAAAACGGGATTTGGGGGGTTTTGACAAATTTAACGTCGCCCGTTCCCCACGGGGGTTTTAGTTTTAAAATTTCGACTCGAACCTGACTGGGAACCCCCCCCTCCACACCAACCCGGGGGGCTTTGGGAAATTTGGGGCCCTCGGTGCCCAACCGGGGTTTTAATTTTAAAAATTTTCGGAAGCCCCTTTGAATTTATACCTCCCGAAAGGACTGGGGAAAAGGGTTTATAAAAATTTTGGCATTTTGGAATTTTTCGGGGGGTTTTTTAAGGTACGTTAAACAGGGTTTTTAGCTTTAATTTGGGAAAAATAAAAAGAAATTTTTTTAATTTTTGGTTTTTCCCATTTTGGAAGTTGGGTTTTTTTAAAATTTAAAAAAGTCCCGGGGGCCAACCTTTTTCCTTGAGTGAGATATTAATAAACAATTACTCAATTCATTTCAATTTGAACATGGAATACATTCAAAATTCGTCTCAATTCATTGAGAAATAATGCTTAATCTGGAAAATGTCGTTTTCCCTTTCCATAGCTTGCAAAAGATGTAAAAGAGAGGTTAAATACTTTTTGAAAGCGAAAAATTTACAAAAAAATTGTATTCGATAATTGAAAAATTCATTTTTTTTAAATATTGCTTTATATTGATTAATTTATGAATTCAATATTACTTGCCTTTATAAAATATGTTTCATATGTCCTTTTAAGTAAATTTAGTTTGATGAGAAGAAAATAAATAAAATTGTGCGAAAAAAACTATAAATAAAATCCTTCTTACTAAACTCCCCAAAAATTCGAAGTGTTCAACTGAAAAGCGAATTAAAGTTTAAAAACATAATTTTGACCATGAGAATACTTTTTAATAATAATATCCATCTTTAAAAGATTCTTGGAGGCGCAGGGGAGCGAACCCAGGGTCTTTCACATGCCACGCGAACACTCTACCACTGAACTACACCCCCTTCGAATGCCTATTATCTTTTTCAATACATATTTCTCAAGAGAGCACGTTTTGCTAATATAAATGTGTCATTTTAGCAGGTCCCGGGTTCAAATCCCGGCCGAACCCACTGCACTTTTTTTCGTTGCTTTTGTTTAAGAATTTAATTTTTCATATGAAAAAAATGCTGCATGTGTATTTGCAAATATTATCTTTTTTTTATCTGGAAAGAATATTAAATATTTGTGCACGGAAATCATTAACTTTCTCCCCCGTAATCTCCCATCGCATCGGAGTCTTACAAAATTACATGCTTACTAATTTTCAAGTCTAAATGCAATAGTTCAAAAACTGGAATTATGTTATCTATAAATCCCCCTCCCAAAATCTTCCTTGGGAGTCGATTTCCGCAATACCCTTTCTTAGCGGAATTATACTTAACAAAAGAAACATGAGTGCCAAATTTAAAGTTTGCCGCTTTAATAACTGATTCTAAAATGAGTGATTGAGAAGAATCTTTTTGGGTTTATCTTACAAAACTCACATTGTTATTATGTCAGGGTCAAAACTTTAAAAGTTTTTTCTCCCATTTTAAAGCGCTCATTCGAAATCTTCTATGCACAAATTTTCGAAATTAATAATAATTTAATTAAAATTAATAAAAATTTAAGATTAAAACTAATTATTAGAAATTATAATACAATCAAGTTGGTTCTTTTTAGCGACTTGGGGCAAAAATTTAAAAAGATTTTTTTTTAGTTTTTAAACATTCAGTTGAACTGAAAAAATAAGATTGTTTTGGATAAAATACGATTCTTTAAAGGGTAAATTTAAAAAAAAAAATAAATTCTTATTTGCATTCTTCATATGTTAAAATTTATATTAATTGTAATTTTTTGAAAAAAGAAGTAAAAAATAAAAACTTTGGACCAAAAAATTGACAAAAAATTTTTTTATAACCTGTTTTTAAATAAAAAGGGGCATAAATTTTAAATAATGTTTAAATTTTTTAAAAAAAAACCCCGTTTGGGTTTGCAAATTATTAAATTTTTAAAAATCTAGGACATAAATAAAAAAAAATGTTTATTCAATTTTTAAAAAGGGGGTTTTAAAAACAAAAAATTTTTTTAAAATTAAAAAAAATTTTTTTAAAAATTTGGTCCGAAAATCTTGTTTAAACGAAATTTTAAAAAAATTTTTTGTGCAAAAATAATTGAATTTTTAATCCCGTTAAATAGCAAAAAATAATTCAATTATAATGCTTATTTTATCCCAACTAAAAAAATTTCTATTTTTTAATTGTAAGAATTTTTTAAAAATTTTC